AATATATTCTTTACACCCATAATTATTTAGGAAATAAAACTGTCTTTTGTAGTTCATTTAAAACCACTAAATAATTTTTTTTCATAGTTTAGAGGGTTATTGAAAAGTGCAAAAATAAACAAAAAAGCTGCATTTTCTTCTTCATCTGGCACTGCAAATGCTCCTAGAAAAAATACTACTGGGTCTAAAAAACTCAAATTTTAATCTTATCCCTTTCTCATTATCAGTGAGATGCTTGCAAAAGTTCTTGGTTGATAGGGTTCATGAGTGTTTCCCATAGAGCTATTCTACTTTTATCGCTTAATTTTGTGCCTGTAAGAAGAAAATAGCATCAAAATGACTGAATTTTATTCCAAATGTTATCCAGAATAACAAAAGCTCAGATTCATGTAAATTAAAACTTTTTATAATGATTTTACTAAACAGAGTATTGAATGCATTCAGTCAGCAGCCACTGCTGAACACCAACCAAACTGTATGTCATCACCTTAAGTCTTGATGTAACGACACAATCATTAACCAAAACAATTCATTTCCAAACAAAATCATCTGAGATGTAAAAAAAAACTGTGACAAGTAAAAAATTATGACAATTTAGATGATAGACAGTTTTTTTCTTACGAGTTTTTCTTTGGTAAAAATAAGCTTGGTGCCTCAAAGCAATACCCAGATTTTTATTATTGTTTCCTACATTTCACTTTAAAGCACAAATTACCTTTACCAAAAAAAAACTTTGACTGTTATCTAAATTGTAATAATTTTATACTTGATGCAATTTTTTTTATACCTCAGAAGTTTTTGCTTAGATTAACATAACAGTTTGTCTTTTGTTCAATTACTTGATATAGTTTTCCTATTAAAACTCTTAAAGTAACAATTCTGAAATGAATCCCTAAATCCAAGTTTAAGTTTTCTTGCAAACTTCCATATTCTATAACAAAGTCCATTAAGCAGTACTTTTCTGCAATCATCTCATAATTTATTGCTTAAAATTCTTAGTATAAAATTCTATAATGTAACTATAATGATATCCGGTATAAACCAGTTTTACACTTTGTCATAGTTTATCTCGATATAATATTTCAAATGGTTAAATATGATATTTTTCTTATGCATTATTTACGGTTAAGGTATTTTCTTGATCATATTCCATACTTTCTTTAAATCAGGAATATCCTCATTGTATGTTCTTTGAAACTTAGCATAAAGTTGCTATTGAGAACAAATCATATAGGAACACTCCTTTTGATGGAAAAAGTAGATTTATTTTCTATAATTTACAACAGATATGCATTTCAAGCTCTACGCCCCTCTTCAGTTCTTAACTTTATTATGTAAATTGGTAAAACAATGTAAGAAATTATAGAATGTATTATATTTAACATATTGCGTAACTCACTAAAATTTGTAAAATATAATTACCTAAAAATAATTATAGTGACAACTGAAATAATTAATTATTAAAACCGTGGGGTAAAACAAGTAAAACTGAAATAA